AGCTGGCCCCCTAGGCCTGCTCGCCGCGCCGCGCCCCGGCCTCCAGCCGCTGGGAAGCGATGCGGGAGGAGCATCAGCCCTACAAGAAACGCACCGTCAGTGAGCTGTACCTGCGGCCACCGTTTCACGTCCCGTCTCCTTCTGGCCCCTTTACTCTTGCTCAACCAGTGACCGTGTTGCCTGCTTTGGGTAGTCCAGTTAGGCCTCCTGATGCCCGGAAAACTCCTGTTCTTTGTCATGTTGTTTGTGTATCCTCTTAGACTCTTTTGAAGGACCCCAAGCTATCCAGTGTTGTTATGAACCCTCATACCAAGAGCGCAGTTAAGCAAAAAGCCGTGAATGATGCTTTAGCAAAAGAGAAGATGTCCCCTATTACTGTCAACCTGATGAGTGAGTAACCATTTGAATTCTGAAAAACGTCTGAGGCTACTTATTTTTACCGGTAGCTAAAACAAATCTGCTGCTAGTCGGTGCTTTACACCCTTTCAATACACCTACCTCTTCCAGATTTGCTTGCTGAAAACGGCCGGTTGCGGTACACTCCAGACATTGTTTCTGCGTTTGGGAAGATCATGAGCGCGTACCGAGGAGAAGTGCTGTGTACAGTCACCACTGCACAGGTGAGTTAGGAACCTCTAGATTGATCTTAACAGGTGGCAGTATAGAAGGCAAACTTCTTCAGCTTGATTGTGCTCTCTCTAGTTTAAGTACTTGCTCTGTGAGTAGTGAGGAATTATCTCGCCTCTACCAAGACCAAAGTCTTTCTGCAGATAGTTTTTTGACATCAAACAATTATTGGTCAAAATTTAAACCTGTTCCTCCCATTTCAGCTTAACAGGTAACATGTTTCCTTCCTGTGAGTGAACCCAGCAGCTGATAAAACTCAGCCTGGCCTGCATATACAGCTGCCCCTACTCTTCTTTCTGTCATCAGGATCATAGAGATCAGGTCAGAACCAACAAAACAGCGGTTAGCTAGAGCAGGGCAGACACCTGGTAGGACTGAAAGTGCCTCTGGTGCTTGGTGCTGTGCTTCACGGGGAGCAGCTACCTAATTTACCACCTGCAGTGCTTGGGACAAGCAGCTAACTCTGAAACTGTAGGAAGACTTTTTCAGAAGTAGCAGATGGGCAAGTTTGGCTGGTGCTCAGGGAGGTGAGAGGGAAGGTGGTGGCTCCGTGAGCTGTAAAGGTCAGGCTGGAGGCACGGTGGCTCTGACACTTCAGTAGCTTCTTCCTTAATGGATCCGTGCCCTGGTCTGTTAGAGCGGGAAGCTGGTCAGCTGAGTATGTAATGTAAATCTGTAGCCCTTGGGTAGGACTACAGTGAACTGCCTACCTGGACTAAATGGACTGGCCCCCTTCAGATTAACTGGCTCCCTGTAGGCCATGCGCACAGATTGGCAGTCTAGTTGGTAGCCTTCGGGGACGTGTGGACTCACAAGCCTGTGCAAACCTTTCTACAAGTTCTCCTAAATATTTCATACGTAAAGTTACTTTCCTGCTGCCTTTTTTTGTTGTTGTTGTTAGTTTCTTCTGGCTCTCAAACTGTTAGCTATTAAATAGAAATGATTTGAATTGCTAACACGGAGGCACTGCTCTTCGATGAAGTCCCTTTTGTCTTTATCTGAGTGGTATCCAAGTGACTTGTAGGGCTACCAAGGACAGATTCACAGTGTCTCTCCCACAGGGATGCAGAGTTCTTCGTGGTGGTGGAGAGAGGTGTCCTTAGCCAGGAGCATTCTGCGAGCCTGCAGTCGCTGCCCAGTGCTTTACACGAAGCAGTGTTTCTTCTCAAGCTGATGCTCTTAAAATTGTTAGAAGCAGCGCAATTAATCTTTCCCTGTACAGCCTGAGCGCTGCTGCAAGGCAGTTCTCAACATTTTCCATCAGGTGCTTACTTTGGCAAGTATGGATTCCTGACGCTTGCCATCTGAAGATGTCAGCATGGAATTTTTGCTGGGAATATATGCACAAATAACGCAATGTTTCATGAAATTAGGTGGGCACAAAGCGACTGCTGTTCCTGTGCTGTCCTTTGGTTATTCCTGTTCAAGAAAGCTACTTCATCTGCCGTCCTGGTGGAAATGTCTGTCTTTGGAGGATTCTGAATAGAAAATTTGGGTTCTAGTTACGTCATTTGAATATTTTCAAGTCCTTCATTTTCCTTGTCTTCTGTTTATATTTTCAGCCCTTGGATGATGCCAGCCTTACTGAGCTAAAAAGTGCTCTGAGTGGATTCTTGGCTAAGGGAGAGGTCTTAAAGCTGGAGACCAAGGTCTGGATATTTTGATTTGTAAATAAATGTCATCAAATTCATCTTCAGCTGGCTTTCTGTCTCTCTGATCTTAAAAATTTGTTCTACTGAATCGAGTTGCTATATTACATAGTTCTGTGCTTTCCTGTAGATCTGATGATGCCCTAATTATTAAAATCTTAAGTTTGGAATACTTAAGTGACTGCGAAGTTACCTTAGAAAAGGCTCTTTTATGAGCTTTTCTTTTTTTTGCTAGTGTAAAAATTGTATAGTAGGCTAACAGATTTTTGCTAAATAGACTTTCTGTTCAATCTTTCCTCTTTAGACTGATCCGTCAATCCTTGGTGGCATGATTGTCAATATTGGGGAGAAGTACGTGGACATGTCAACGAGGTCAAAGATCCAGAAACTCACCAAAATCATGAGAGAGACTGTCTAGCGAGCTGTCCGCGCCATTCAAGGGTGTGAAGCCTGTCAGATGGAAACAATAAAATTATTTCTTCCCGAGTAGGCGGTGTGAAGTACTCTGATTCAGAAACACAGCGCTGAGGGAGAAAGGTGGCGAAGCTGCCGTGGGTTTCGCTTCGCGTCACCGAAGTGACGCAGCTTGAAAACCTAGCTCACCCTGAGCGCAGGTGGAGGTTGCTGTGGGGGAAGCGGGGAGTAATGCTCTAGGAGCTGATAAATGGGGTCGCTGCGGCTCAGCTTCCGTCAGTCTCCAGAGGAAACGTTCACTCGGGGCGTTGTCGGGGTGGCGGTGCACAGTCCCGCTGCCCCCGGCCCGTTTGTGCTGTCGGCGCGTCCCCGCCAGCCAGCGCCGTGTCAGGCCTCGTTTACTTCCACCTCTGTATCCGTGGGGAGAGTTTGGTATCTGCCTTGAACTAAAATGGCCCTCTAGAAGAGGCCAAGGTGTGTTTGCAGGTTAAAACTGCGTACAGAAATGTTTGGAACGGGACAGGGGTTCGCAACCAACGAGCGCTACAGCGGCAGCGTTGTAACCGGCTGTGTGCGCTTCCTGGGGAGCATCTGGATACAAATTTGTAACTGCCCTGTTTCTGCCTGGAAGCGCTGTGCCTCTGTTTTCCGTTTGAGTGATCTTCAGCAGCCTTGGGAAGGAGCGTAGAGTGCCCGTTTCTCCTTCTTGATCAAGAACTGGTGTTTGACTTGATTTTGGGTAGATACCGTTATTGCAAGGAGGGCGTGTCAAACTGGTATCGCTAGCTCACTTTGGCTGCATGTATCATTGAAACCTCTTGACTAGCCAAGTTGGGTGTTTGGGCTTGTTTTTAGAGAAAGCTTTTAATAACACAGGTAGTCCCTGCAGGGGGGAGACTCTTCAGCCCTGCACTTTCTCCAGTACCTGGCGGCAGGAAGTACCTTTTACACCACCACCCACCCCCCTGGGCCGGCCTAGGGCTGCTGGCCATACCCTCCCACCTGGAGGGGGTGTAGGAGAGGTAAAAGCTGCCCTCTGCTTCTCGCCAGCCCTCCCGGGGGCAGGGAGCAGTGGGTGGAATTGGCCCCCAAAACCCCGGAGGCAGAATAAAGTGCTGGCTCTGGAGGCCGTGGGAGCGGCGCGGTGGGCTTGTGCTGGGGAAAGGGGAGCGCCTAAGCTTGTGGGGTCAGTGATGGGGGTGGGGGGCGCTTGAGCCCCTCGGGAGCCTCAGGGACAGGGCAGAGGGGCAGCAAGTGGTGCAAAGGGGCCTCCTGCACCCTGCTTTCCACTCCCGGTGCCACTCCAGTCGCTCCAGGGTGGTGCTTTCTGATTTTGGGCAGCAGAGCTGCAGGCGGTCGCTGACAAGCCGCACAGAGCCGTGCCGGGCCGCTGTGTAACGTCGTAAGGCGCACAAGGTAATGGCACCTGGCCTGCCAAGCCTTTCGGGTTTTTTTGGGGGTGGGTGTTTTTTAATTACTATTTTTTGATAATTTATCTTTGCTGTCTTACTACAGATTGGGTCAACTCTCCATTTTCAAGCCTGAAAAAAGTGCAGACAGCGCGTTACAGGGGTGCAAAGTGGCACGTGTCAGGCGTTAACTGCTGGTGAGTTATGTCCCTGCTGCTGGGCCTATCACTTTGCTTACACTTACGTAGGTCTTCTGTCAAAAATACTCATCTGAAGATTTTTTTGATGTGTCTGACACCCTGTGGCTTCTTCAAGAACCTAACAGTACGCAGTTAGACTTTAGAAAAACCTGGATTTATTCTTGTGTCATTTCACTTGCACAGTGAAGTGATCTACAGTCTCAGCTGCGTCAAAAAATGGTGCAGCCTAAACCTTATTGGTGATTTCCACCTCAGTGGCTGCAGTCTGGGATGCGGCACAATTCCTCAAACAGGTGAACACATTTTAAGGACTTTTGCTTAATTGGACCATGTCTGTAAATACAATTATTTAACCAAGAGTGGCTGAGGAAACAACACGTTCCCAGCAACCCAAGTACAGTCGAAATTCTTATGAGAAACAGTGGTGTTTGAGTCATAATTATTCACTGTGCCTATTACGGATGCTTTGAAAAAAAACCAAAAAAAACCCCCACCCAACTTCACTTTAGGATCATTTTGCTGTAGCATAGTTAGATGTGATGTAAGTAAACAATACAAATTAATTCCATTTTCTCTGGGGGGAAAAAAAAAGTAAAACAACTTTTTCTTCTATTTGGCCAGATCTTAAGACGTACAAATAACAGTTGTTTTATATAATGCCTGTAATTTTTAGGATCATATGCGTACTACAGACACTAAAATACTTCATTTTTAAGGAAAAAAAAAGGAAACTAATTGATACCATTTGTTTGGCAGCAAAAAGTGTGCTAAAAAGTAACACCACCACCAGCAGGGAGGATTCCCCAATTCAAAGTATTACATTGAAAAAAAATACTATGACTATCTTTTATTACTATTATTTTATTTAACACTTTACCAGCATGAAGCAGAAAGCACCCAATCTGCAGAGGCTGCCGGAAGCGAAATTTCTTTTCAGCCGCTTGGGGACTGGAATGGGGTAATTCTGGACAAGCTGTTACCAAATCCAAAGCCTTCCAGGAAAATCTGTCCCACACCCGGGGGGGGCTTTGCCTTTTCCCTGGAGGACTGGGGGTCTCTCAGTGTGGGGGGAGCACGTCCCCGCTACGGTGCCCTGCTATGGGCCCTGCATAGGGGGAATGCGTGCGGTGCCAGAGGGTCGGTGCGGGTCCCTCCGCACCAGCGCGATCCTTTAGGCAGTGCTGCCTGGTCACCCCAAAAGCAGCCTGTCCTGGGGTGGGCGTGGTGGTGCAAACCTAGGGAAGCCCGAAAGACGTGGTGAGATGGGGCAAGAGGGAGTGAGAGCAGGGGCAGTGAGTTGGCCAAACCCTGGTCCCACACCCAACCTTCCCTCTTCCTCCTGGCAAGAATGAGTTGTACCCAGGAGCAGTCACCACAGCCAGGAGGGATTTCCCTTCCAATCCACCACCCGATGGACACCCACGCACATTTTTGGGGCAGAGATCCCGCTGCTCAGCAAGCTCGCTCTTTTTAGCTCTGCCCTTATTTCTTCTCTTTCCCCTTTCCCCTTCACTCTCCTGCATCCCAGCCTTCCCCTTCACCTGCCCTCGCTGCGGTGGGCAGGAGCTGCTGCCTGGGGGTCTGATGGGGGGCGCGGACGAAGCACCAGCTCCCATCACTTGCGCCACGATCCCAGAACTGACCACTAAATCCAGGGTTAGTGATGCTTCTGCAGCTTCACGAGCAGCACAAGGAATTCACCTACGGTCGCAACAGAGCTTTCGACAACTGTATCAAGCAACTAGGCTAGTTTTATGTATTCTTACTGCAGTTCTTTATTCTTTTAAATTACATCCTAAATATGTCCTCCTATGTAAAGAAAAATAATTTCCCAAGGATGGTCCTTAATTTAAAATATCTAAATGAACAAAGCAAACTGGGTGCCTGTAAATGCTTTTCCATTAGATTTACTTAGTATTTGACAATGAGAAAGTAGCTGTGTTTTTATATTATATACACAAATAATCACACATATATATATAAAATCATGTATTTAACTATAGATACATTGATATGCATGTAGGACAAGAGTGATTGGGCTAAACAAACACCGGGATACAGGTGGAATGTACGTACAGAGCAAACCCCTGAAAGTAAAGGTGATGTAACCTGGTTCCCAGCTTTTCAGTGTCTCCAGGGTTTTGACCGCTAGATTTGAACAAACAACTGAGCTATCACCATGGCAAACGGAGTGGTATGAAAGCAGGCACCACTGTTGCAGTAAAAGTCTGGACTTGTCCCCTCTTTTAGTTTTGAAAATGTCTTTAATAATATTATAAAAACTGCATTATGCACAATGTTCCCCCCCAACCTTACTCGCATGTAACAAAACAGTGATCGATTTATTTATTTTTAAAGGGTAAAAAAATTTTAAAATGAACATTTAAAAAGTTCCCTCGTAAAAACTCATGTTGAGAAAATACGTAGTAATTAAGTGTGTCTAGAGAAAAGTTCTGTAATTTATCAGTCACTTGGCTTAGCGTCAGCTCAGCGACACGCTCTGTCTGTCAAGGCGCCTGAGTCGACTCCCTGGCTGCGTGCGGCCTCTCAGGGCTTTACAGGCTGGCTTTCTACCAGCACTGTCCTTGGTAAGGTACTTGGTGTTTCCGAGGCCAGGTCAGCCTCGTGTTGTTTTTAAATCACAGCCTTTCCAAAAGTGTTGCAATCTGTAAGTATATGAGTTACGCGATTTGCCTGCTAAATACAATTCTGTTGAGTTTTGTGGCTAAAACCACTTTCGGGAAGATAAGGAAGAAAACAGATCTGGCTGCAAAGACTATAACCTCCTTCCGTGTTTTATCTTAATCTTGACTTTTTGTTTGATGCTCTCTTCCAGTCTTTCAACCCTTCCAGAGCTTAAACCAAGTTCATAACGTAGGCTCTACATTATCAAAGCCTTTTGAATTCCTCCACGTGTCCCCAGCAAAGCACGTAGGCACCCGGCTGGCTTTACGCACGCCTCTGCACCGAATTGGGGCATGAATTAAAGTTAAGCATCTGCTGAAGGAAGTGCTTCGCTGAGCCAGGGGCTGGAGGGCTGCAGCAGAGATGGCAGCTGCCAGATGAGCCGTGAGGGAGAAGCGTGGGAAGGAGTCCCTACAGCAGCACTGTTTCACAGAGCTAAGCGTCAGTGCGGGGGTTAAAGGGAAGGAAAGAGCGATGCTTTCCAAAGGACTGAATTAATTACAGGACGACAGAAGCACCGGTTTACTCACAAGACATACACAGAAGAAAAACCAGAACGGATTGAGGCAGTGAGACGAGGCGGGATGTGTTTTCCGGTCACCCGCGGCATTTGTTCATGCAATGCAGCCAGTGTTCGGCTTGGAGGGAGCCAGCGGGCTTAGCAGGTGGGGAAAAATCGCAGCCGGGAGGGGACTTGGGTCACCTCAAAATGGGAGCCTCAACCCTAAATGGCAATGAACCGGAGGCTGTGGGCTTGCAGCGTGGGCAGCAGGAGCTCCCAGCCTGGCACTGCTGGGAAGGATGGCACGGCTGCGTGCTCGGGTGGCCTCTGAAGGGGGAGAGCTGAACCTGCGCCAGACATAACGACCTGTGAGCTGAAGTGTGCTTATTTACAAAGCTATTCAGGGCTCAGTTACCAGTGTCTGAAAAATAGGGTCTACATAAATACAGGTGCTGAATACCGGTAGCATGGACTAGCAGCGTTTGGCCTGGCAGCCAGCACGTGGCACTTGTAAGAGGATGGCTCAACCCTCGCACGTTGTGGTAACGCCAGCTGACTTTCTAAATATGCAAAGAGATACCTGACTCCCCAGGTAGTGCTGTGTGCCGCTCTCTTCCCCAAAATCTTCAGAACACGTGGTGCCCTAAACCAAGCCCACGTGAGCTTGCAGGTTTTGCCCTGAAGGCACTAGCAGGAATACAACGATGAGTCTCTTGGGTTTGTTTTGGGTTTTTTTTTCAGTAGGAGGCCTGAGCTTTTACAGCATGAAGTAAGTCCTGGATGAGCAGGAGGCTATGGTGGGTAGAAAAGCAGAAACCTGCAGCCCGTGCAGCTGCAGTGATGTGCAAGCCTGCAGCATTCCTGAACAGGGAAAAACCAGGCCAGGAGTCAAGTGGTTTCTCAGAATCTTTGGCTGACCCTGGTGAAAAGCAGTTCTGTCTGGGAAGCCACCAGTGCCACTGTGCTACTGAGGGCGAGCAAGCGAGAAAACAGTGACATCCCGACACGCAGCCAGCTGGCTCTAAGGGCATACGTTCTGTCCTGGATGCACAGGGATTAGGACAAGCTTCCTCTTTAGGATAAGACCGATTAGGAGGGGTTCATTAGGTATCTGTGAGGCAAAACCCAGCCTTTCATCATCATCATGTTCGCATGACTCCTATTGACATGAACGGGCATTAAACATTGCTGTGCACCGAGGGCAAGTGGGAAATCACAAGTGATGGTGGTCGGGAAGGTGCTCAGTAGTTCTGTTGCAGTTCCCCAACACGGTGCAATCGTACGAGCTCATGACAAGGGTTGCACTCTGGGAGGAGCCCCTGCAGCTGAGGGTCCCTCGCTTCCAACGCCTGCTGGGTCTCAGAGGAAGGTGCAGCCCCTTGAGGCTCCCTTCGAAAACCTGGCCAGGATTTCTGCATTATACCCACGGTCTTTTTTGTCCTATTTGTCTATTTAGCTGTTACTGTCATTCATGCTGGTGAAGTGATACCAGAAAAAAGTGATGCTACTTTTTAAACACTGAAATGAATGTTCACCATGTTTGCAGCTGCTGAGTAAAATTAGGACAGCAATAAAAGGTTAGACAATGACATTTAATGTTACTCCATTAATAGATTTTATCACTTTTTTTTTTATCCTACCACAACAATGTGTATTTTCATATACATTATATTTCATAAAATGTATTGATATGGAATTAGGAAAGCATGGGTTTAGTACTATTTACATATTTTAATTGAAACAATTTTCTTAACAACATTGAAAAATAGAAACTTAAAGTTCTCTTAATCGTGTTTTCAGCCAATTAGTGGTAAACAAATGCATGCCTAGGAAGTTACACTCCCTCTAAAATGTGGTCAGTTGAAAGTTTCTAACTAAAGTGTGTATCTCTGTTTTGTTTCAAAAAATACATAAGTATGTCTGTAATTTCTGATACAAAATTCTACACTATCTTCAATAAATAAATAATAAAGCGATTCTGAAAAGTATGAAATGTAAACTTTGTTGTCCCTCCAACATACATTTTTTTTTTTTTCCCATTGCTTGAAACATTACAGTGGTCTCGTAGGAAATTATAATACACAGACACTTCCCAGCACAGTTTACACTTATTACCATACTGTATCTACCTATCTGTTATGAATATATCCTAATTTCCTAATGGAAATCAATAAGACTTGTAGTGCTAGAGAACACCGCCTATACAGGAGAGGTGGAAACCAGTACTGAAAGGACATGCAAGGAACACCAAAACCTAACAACAGGCTCCACAAGAACGTTCACATGCTAATGAAACAGGCTGACACCTCCCATTCGGAAATAAAGTCCTTACAAAAATACCAGTGTATGCGTGATAGGTCGTGAACAAAAGGAACCCAAGCAGAACAAAGAGGAATTTTACTCTTAGGGTGTTTACTGCCTCTCCAGTCCAGATTCAGCAAAGCACTTACGCATGTGCTTGAGGGAAACAAGACGTAAGTGCACGCTTAAAGCTGGGTGCTTTGCCAAACAGGGGAAGGATGTGGCCTATACAGGCTGGATGTGGGCCTATATGGGTGTATTTGTAGAGTTAAATGGCTATACAAGCCCTGGCATTCCCCCAGATGACAAGGCTTTTACTTTGGGGTTACCCACCCTGCACCGTCACGAGCGCTCGCTTTCTGGTCGCATCCGGTATCGCTGCCACCAAAGCTGTGATCGCCCCGGCTTGCCACAAACTCCCCCATCAGCTACAGGATGCTGCTGCCCTGAATTCAGTAGCATGCTGTCACACACAGTTAGGCACGGTACAATTTAATAACCGGTCACCACTGATTGCTTTGCAAACTAGACTCTGCGGGGTAGAAATTAGCTTCCTAAGCTAGAGCCATGATTTTTTTTTTTTTTTTTTCCTCTCCCCACTGCAGGTGACAGCTCATCTGTCTGCGGTCACACGGTCGAGCAGCAGTAGTAAAGTAGTACCGAGGTGGTACAGCACGACATTCAGCAGGGCTCTATGCTTAATCCTTCACTTACTGTTCAAACATCTACGGTCCTATAGAAAACGGCAACTTCCAAAGGTACCGAGTGGGTGGAGGCTTCTGGAGTGCAATTCATCTCTGTGCAGAAGGCCTGTACATAATCTATTTTCAGGGGCAATGTGAGTCATGAAGTGGTATGTTAATAGAATCTTCTCTGTTTATAGATATAGACTATTTATTTTCTCAGTCTTTTCAGTACCACAGCAAAGATCTTCAAAGATCTTCTTACTGCATAACCGCTCCTTCCATTCACATTACATTTACACACCGCTTTGCTGAGCAATAGGCACAGAATTCCTTAAGGGGGAAAACCCTGCAGAAAGCCTCCAAAACATACCAACATTGCTGCCTTCATGTAAATTAAAGAGTAAAGGGTAACTGGAGCGAGCACAGCAACCTATGTGGTTTGCCAGCCTTTCAGACTGGAGCACAACGAACAGCTAGGTTATTTCATAAACCCAGGAAACGAACCTCAAGTTCCACATAGAGAAATCGAGGGAGATCTCCTCACTAAACGGGGATTCATTTTTCAGTGAGAATTATCAAGGCACAAAGATGCTCCTGTTTGCTTTGATAACCCTCTTACGTGTGAAGGGCAAGCAGTAGTTTCATACCACACCAATAAGGATTTTGCTTCTGCAGACACCTATTGCCGTGACCTCAGGCTGAAACAAAACATCGGTCCCTTTCCTTCTAAGGCTCATCGAACAATTGCAGGTCTAGTCGGACGACTATCTCTCCTGTTGGGACTTCATGCAGAAGGAGACACTTTGTAACTGGTCCCTTTGAACCCTGATCCTTCTTAATGTCTGCCACACGGATCTCTGTTCTGCCCAAAAAGTCTGAAATGCAAAAAGACAGCATGCTCAGAAATGACACAACTGTTTCACGTTGCAGTAAAATGCTCATTTGCAGAAGGAACTAAGCTTCCAGCTACACACAACAAAAGGAGAAAACAAGACTTCAGTCCAGCTATACTTCTGCAGTTGAAGGCACCAAAGGCTGCCAATCTGCACAGAAGAGGATTTTAGCTAGACCTTATTAGACCGCAGCAGCATTAAAAGTAAATGGTCCCATAAGCGGAAACGTCCACTAGGTAATTCACACAGCTGCCTCACTTCCGTAGCGTATTTATTTTATGGTGTGTTAGAAAAAAGACAGAAGAGGATTTTAGCTAGACCTTATTAGACCACAGCAGCATTAAAAGTAAATGGTCCCGTAAGCGGAAACGTCCACTAGGTAATTCACAGCTGCCTCACTTCTGTAGCCTATTTATTTTATGGTGTGTTAGAAAAAAAGCAAAAGGCCTCTGCACAGTTCAAACTGAGCGTGAAGCCCTCTGGAGGTGATAGAGCCAAGCAGTGCATCACACTAGTGACGAGGTCAATGGGCCAACAGGCGCTGGCCACACGAATGACAGTCCTATCCAAATACTTCCTGGGAGATCATGACTCCAAAATGCACTCTTCAGTGTTCCCTATGTTTATCCCAGGTTATGAAATAAGAACAGGGTAGGAAACCCAGGTCAATTTCTGCCACTGTTATTGCATATTACAGGAACTTGGAGACATACCTTTTCCTCCTGAGTTAATCTACCCATTTGCAAGCAGCAGCCAGAGTTTTGTAAAGCCTTAGCAGAACTGCCAACCGCACCTCAGTTGTCGTCAAGTTGCACAAGAAAGGAAATCCCCCCAAAAACAGTGAGAGCTTGATTCTTTTTGCGCTGATACTAGCAGGACTCCACTGGGGAGTGAGAGTCAGTAGGCTCTCAATATGCAAAGGGGTTCAATATTGGGGTTGGAACTAGATGATCTTTAAAGGTCCCTTCCAACCCAAACCATTCCCTGTGTCTATGATTCACCTCAGCAGGCATGCACCACTTCAAAACGGGAGATCTGAAAATACCCTTTGGAAGGGCGGCAGCCCCCTACGCACCATCTGGGGAGAACTGGTCCCTCTCGAACACCGTAATGCAGAGCACGTCCTGCTCGAGGTCTTTGATGAAGAACTGGCAGTTGGAGTTCCACTTTGGGTTGAGGGTGTCCTGTATCGTCTTGGTAATGTGGCACTGAGAGCCCATCGTCACCTCACAGTACGGGTTACTCTTTCCTGGAGAGATGGAAACAAACAGAAAAGAGTAATCGCGGTTTTAGGTGAGTGATCTTCCTCCCAAATGCCCTTTTACTCCTACAGCCAACAGACGGGGAAAGGCTGTGGCCTCACTGGCACACGAACAGGGACACAGTTCTGCCAGGCAATGAGCGCCTTCCGCTCTTCATTTCGGGACTTTGAGGTTTGTGATCTCTTACTATATGGCTTGTGTGGTGGAAACTAAGTTTGTCTGAAACAAATGCTTAATGCAGGACAACTGCATGACAACTCCTGAACTGCACAGAATCACTGCCGCATATTTTAAGCTCATTAAAACTGCTTCATTAAACACAAGCGTGTTTTGGACAGAACCGCCTTCAAAGTTAGTCTGACAAATAGGAATGTCCTCTCCACAGAGCGTATTATGAAAAACCCAAGGCACTTACCATGGGACCTACAAGGCTTTAGTTCAATGCCTTCAACAATATTCACCATCAACCTCCCAATGCCTGTTGCTCTTTGCGAGCGAACTGTGGTGAAACAGAAGAGGAGAGAGAAAAGTCTTTAACGTTATTTTCCTGCCCATGGACTTTTCCACAAAAGATGAGACCCCCACATCCCATGCTGTACCTAAGTAGGCCTTTTCCCTCTTCTTCTTTTCAGTCTCTATGTAAAGTTCCGAAGCAGCTTTGATCTTCTGAACCCAGGCAGTCCTTCAGAAGCAAAGGAAAAAAAAAAAAGTTGCAAAATACCATTTCCATTTTTCCTCCCTGGAGCACAGCAGACAAAAGGAAAGCTGTCCCTCCTTTGGCTCTGGCCCCATCACAGGCTCTGCTATACTGAAGCTGTCTGCCCTGAAGAGATCTTACTGGAATTTATAGGGCCTGCAGAAAGTTTACCATCCCAAGCTAGCAGATCCCACCACACAAAGAAAACTCAAGAGAAACATCAGGAGGGACTTGGTGATTAACCAAAAGGTATAGATAACAGGTTTGCTTTCACCAAGCCTTTTGCTTTATTCTAATAAACTAACTTCTTGAGTAGATACAAGACAGCTATGTTGCAAAGGTGGCTACTTTTCTTGACCCCTGAAGGTTTCACAACAAAATCCTTCTGAGCCTCAGGACACATGAAACATAACTCAGGGCGTACACAGACGATGAATGATCATGGTTCCCTACGGGCCCTCCCAGGAAATTCATACTTAAGAGACTGAGTGGGAAGACTGACAGAGAAAAAGCGTGGAAGAAGGGATACCAAGGGGCCTCAAAGGTTTAGAAAAATTGCTGTGACATACAAGGGAGCCTGAAACCTGAGTCAGGGCAAAATGAGAGAATCTAGAAGTTGTGGATCCACTTCTGATCCCAAAATGAAGAGCTGCTGCTCTACAGGGCATTGCAGCTACTTCCACTGGCCTGGATTCGGGTCTGAACACTCACCTGTATTCTGCACAGAGAGCTGTTCAAGAAAACAAAACACTTAAGGACAATTCTGTCTTCTACTCAGCCCTAAATGGCAAATGGCAGCTTCAGAAGTATACCACACCTTTGATCATGAAGGTCTTTTAAGGTTAAATGGGCAAATTAATCACTCATTGATGCTAATGTTTTCTCTGTTGCTCTTAGTTAAAAGCAAGTGAATGATGAAAACCTGGAGGTATCTCACCTAAAATGCTGTGTTTAGTAAGCATTATTCTGGCATAAAAGAAAGTCAAAGGCTGTATCCCATATAAGGAAGGGCATTTGACTAGAGCGCCCAAATTCAGACAGCAGCTCCTGGGGGTTCTCTCTACAATGACTGGAGAGAGGCAGGCACCTCCACAGGGCGGACAGTATGTGAAGATCTGTCTCCTTCCACTGATGGCTCAGCATAGCGTGCCTAAGCATCCCGCTGAAGTTCCTTGAGCTAGGCATGGTGAATGCGGTGCAGAGTTTAGATGTTTCTGCCTACTGCTGTGAGTGCTCTGACGCAGAGCAGGTGATTATTGCTATAGTCTGATTTGTGCCACAGATCCTAAGTTGAAAAGGCTGTGTCAATTTTCATCACCAAGGGTCTAACCATGATGCTCGTTCATTCTGTGGCACAGAGTAACAGACGGTATCCCGAAGGACAAATGGGATCCATAAAAGCAGGATCTTTTGCAAGAAAAGCTATGTGCATACACAATAACGAATAACACTGTCAGGCAGGCAGGGAGCAAATATGTTTTATACATTTTTATGCATCAGAATTTTTAGGGGCCGTACATTTGCAAGCTGACATGACGCAATGTCTGTACTATGGGGGAGGGGTTTGCTGCAGCTTTCATTTTTTAACAAAAGTTATCTTTCAAGACCTTACATTTGTGTACAGAAACCTGTTCGGTATAAGTCAGTGTCTCCGTAAGCTTGCCAGAGATAAAAATCACCAGCTGAGGTTTTGAAGTTGCTGTTCCTTTGATGGTTTCAGTCTGAACTCAGTGAGATTAAAGCTAACCTTAAAGCTAACCGGGTTTAGCTTGGTAGGGTTTTGCTTCAAGTTCTAATTCTGACCTGTTCCTCAATCTCATTCAACATACAGCCATACAACTGCTTGCACTGGCACAGACAGACAGATGTTAACAGAAGAGGATGGGGTTGCATCTTTTGGCTTCCTTATGCTAACATATAATGTTGTGAAATATGTCCTGCATATATATATATATCACCCCTCCTAGCCATTTCACTGTTGGTCTTATTGGAATTCACGAAACATCATTATTTCTCTCTCCTTTTCATATCCTGAGTATCACCGTATTCTCAAGCAGAAGGAATTCTCCAGGCTCGTAACATAAACTGCTTGGAGACTGCTATGCATGTGTCCATCATATACATTTGCGCCAGACTTTTCAAATTCAGTGCTAACATGGCCTATGCAGGTACTTACCTTTCATTAATGCTTTCAGCCCGGAGTGTATAGACTCTATCAATGTGGGAGATATGGAAGATGGGCTCATCTCCAGAAGGGTCTGTGGGTAATTTTACTAGTACCTCATTTAGAAAAATGGGCTGTAAAACATTAGGCAAAGCTGGAGTTCTACCGCACAATATCCGAACAGATGCATTCAACACAGAGCAATTTACAACAGATTTATCTTGCGCCTGCAGTATCTTTCCCCTTCTGCCTGCCTCCCATCTTTCTTCAGATATGTTGTTTTTAAAAATTTTCTTATTATCAAAGACATAGGTGCGTCCAGTGTGTAGGAACACTTCTCCTGAAGTAAGCAAGCAGCCTCACAAAGCATAGCAATCTCTCCTTTCCCACAAAGAGCAGCAAACTCTACTCTCCACATCACTCCCTGATACACGTGGCCTCTTGTTGAAGAGGCTGTTTTAGCAAAACTTCAAAAGCATCTTTTCTTAGCTCGCTAAAGCAAACCACCAGCTTGCTCACCATCAGTCCCTGGAATCCCCAGCATATGCCAAAGCTTTCAAACCTCTTCTGTGTAAAGGCTATCACCCACACATTCAGCATGGGAGCTCCTGCTTGCTACATGCATGCTAGTGTATAACCATCTTAGTCGCCATTTAAGAGTGGTACTTACAGTTTTGTACATTTTGTATTGCAGATTAGACTTGGGGCTGAAGACCTTGTCTGTGCCAGAAGAGCCGAGAGGTTTTATGATCTGAGTCAGGAGGAGGAAGTCGTTGAACAGAAAGCCATACAGTTCCTTGTTACTCTTGGCTTTATAGAGTTTCCCACTGTGCAGAAACTTGCGTGGTCCCAAGCAGTTTGTAACAGAATTAAATACGAGTTGCTGCGAAAAGTAGAAGAAGAACAACAACGCACTGTATAAAGTAAAACAATCGAGGTTCCCCTGAAAGAGATCAAATATAGTTTTGAGTCCTGACATCAGTTTTAATTTGTGTCATAGGGATGATGAGCAATGTCTCTGTCTTGCGCATGATAAGCAGTGCAAGTCACAGAAATGCTACATGAAAATTAACAATAAGGCAGCCCATCAGCTGCATAGGGCATGGCCTGGACAGTCAGAGAAAAGCCAAAAGCATTTGTTCCTCTTTTCGAGTTTCTCTGCCACGCGCATGCATCTCTGTGAGTGGAACTGAGCTGATGACAACTTGTCCTGGATTAGCAGTAGTTATGCAAATGGCCTCTCCAAACGCCAAGCTTCCTTAACAAGGCCTGGATTTCTGAACTGTGTTTGAATTTCATCCATTAAAACACACCAGAGGAATTCCAGATAGCCTGCCTCTGTGTACTCACAGTACCTGGAGTTAGAGGACAGCTGCTTACCAGTGGCTGGAATTGGCAGAATTTAAGACTCAACTGGAGGTCGTTACCAGATAAGTAAAGGCTTGCCTGTTCTTAAAGTGTCATTTTCAGGTTTATTTTCACTAGGTGATGGTACGGTTCTTGCTATCCTAGTTGGCCAGGCAGCTAGATCTGGAGCGGCTCCTTTTACAAATTAGAAACAGCTCAGTCAGAAAACTGGGGGAAGGCCAGACCACTCCTTGCCTCTGACTCAAGGCTGCTACTGGCATTACCGTGTCAGCAAGCAGACAGCTGGTCTTTCAGGTAATATTTTTGGTGCTGTAGGGCCAGACATCATGCACAGGAGATAAAAGCAGCCACCTTCCTTCGAGCAGCAGTTACAAGACAGCTGAATGTGACTTCGACCCTCCTGAAATTGTCATACCTGTCTTTCTGAAACAGTTAGATTTCATAAGATGAAATGCAATGTTTTTTGGTTTATAAACCAACCAGCGCTTTTTTTTTTTTTAAATCTTCTAGAACTAAAAACTCAGCGCATACTTTGAAAATCAAATTTTGATCTGTCTGCCTGTATCATGTTCACCAATAATAAGGAGGCCAACAAAATATCTGCAATCCTTTTGCAGGACATACCAATGCAATATTTTCTTTATAGTTTCAGTAGAGAAGCTTAGTGTGTTACCTTAAAAAATAATATGCGATGCTAGGCAATGATTCTCTCTGTAAAGTCATGAGAGAGATTGGATCAGCATTCTTGAGTTTCCAAAATGCATACAAAGTTTTATCACAAAAAAATATTTTCTGTGATTAAAGCGCTCCAGGATGGTCAGGTATGGCTTCAGGATGAGATACAGCAGCACAATAACCACTGTATTATAAAGAGCTATGAAACCAGAAAGTTGTGGTTGAAAATTGCAGCATTGAACCTGGCACTAGTCCAGAGGCAGGCAACAAAAGCAGCATTTATCATATAGAAAGTAATAACACGAGCAGCAAAAAGGATTATGTGCAGGAGTGAAAGGGAGCCAAAGAAAGATGAAAATAAAGGACTGAAGACTATATGACTTGATTAATTACACTGTTGGTCCCCTGATGCAGTGCCGTAAGTGAGCCATGGTTTCTTCCCGACCGGTGGAGAAGTGCACTCACATTTGCATTACTCAAGACAGAACATTTTTTTTACCTCCGACAGGCCTTCGCACTGAACATGAGCCTGGATCCACTCCAGCCTATCTGAATTTTCCTTCTCCCGCACTCCTTCATTTACTTGAGAACATAATTCTTCTGCTTTCTCAAGAGCGTGCTTCAAGTGACTGTGGTCTGGGTGGTTTTCAGGAGTGTTTTCTATTATCTACAGACGAATAAAATACATTAGCCTTTTCTGTTATCTGCAGTTAAAATAGACTTACATTGTCAGCCCTACACTTCAGTTTTGTTTCTGTATTTTCATCAGAGCCAGCCGGTGCATTTCAAATTTCTTTTCCTCCTTGACAAACATGAAAAACAGGAGACAAACTCCCAGTTCTGTTTGTGAGCGGCTGAAGTGAATGCCTGCCTGCAGAGCCTTTGCATCAGTACGCTCCTCACTCTGCTGACATAAGCACGCGAATTCCAGCCACGCGCAGAAATATACCCGTGACTGTTTAAGGAATCTCTCAAATGCCAACATCCAATTTATAATTCTTCCCTGCGAACGTCTCGGGCCAAGTTCAATAACATTATTCAGGATGGTAAGCGTTAGGCAACAAATGGAAGTTAGGAAAGGGTTGTAAGTCATCCAGCAGTGTAAGCTGCACAGTAAGGTAACTTGCAACGATTTGGCATTCAGGCTTGCACACTGAATGTCATTTACAAGACTATGGGGAGGGAATGACATTGCGGATAATGGCAAAGATGAGCATAAGATTGACTCATTACTCCCGTTATCTGAATTTTAAAGTTTTCATTCAGCATTTACTGCCTCCTGGTTCTTTGTGTGCAAGTTTCACCTCTGTTTCTAATGGAAATCCAGAGTAATTTCACTGAAGCCAAACAAGTTACCACATTTTCCCTAGTGTGATCAAATATAAAAGGATACCCCACGTTCACTAGCACACCAGGTGCCTAACAGTGACACAGCTTGACACAAATAGGGAAACTATCCTGTAATTAAGCTATAAGCAAAGCAGCATCAAAAACATCATCTTTGCAAAAGAACATACATTTTTAATTATTAGTGGGTATCTTGTTACCCGTTGCATAGGCTTTAGTAGAAAACTTGATAGTGGCATTCCTTTACAGCGAGGATCCATTGCTAACCTCTGAAACATTAGAGAGGTAAAGTAGTGTTAGTCAGTTTGTTTAAAACCCTGCAAAATAAGCTCCTCCAAGAAACAAAAAGGTAAGGCAACAAATGAACACCATGCCTCAGTTAAATCTGAATCTTAGATCACAGACAATATCCGTGCAGTAGAATTTCTTGTCTTTTTTACAACATATTCTTCACCTGCCTTGCCTGTGCAAGAAAAGGGCCTCTTCTTACTGTCCCAGCATTTTACAGCAAAACCATTATCAAACAAAGTATTTTATGGCTCTACAGTTGTTTGAAAAATTGTATTCCTTCAATGAAAGCATGTACTCCTTCCATGAGTGCTTAAGTCTGAAGATTCTTCATTCTAGCCCAACACAGAGCACTGTTTGAGACTATGCTTTACAAATTAGAGAAACGATGAGCTAAATTTACAGTGTACAGAATTCATGGTGATTGCTTCTTTTCTTACTTTAACGAATTCCTTGAACTCGGGGACTTCATCTGTCTTCTGCTGGATGAGTGCTGCCCCATTGAGCTGGCAGCTACAGAACCGAATGTAAGGCTGCATATGTGGCAGCTGAGCTGTCAGTATGTCACCAATCATTTTCACTGGCATCTTCTCTCCAGACATCTTCTTACGCACACGCAAAGCCCTAAACATGAAAAGGTCATTTGTGTTTTATAAGCAGACCACTAAAGAATGATTCCTCATTTATGAAATAAATGGTTTGATCCTTATTCATTATTGAAATAGACCCTGAATAATAAATAGATCAGCCACAAGATTTATTGCATATTGTAAGAATACAACAATCAAGATTGCACCCTCAGCCAACAACATTTTTCCCTCTTGTGGTAACTGAACTGTTATTTGACATGAACTTAGTGCCATGCCAGATCAGATACAATACAAAAAGGAATGTAATAATTTCCTTTTCTACTAGTTTAGAGAGTAACAGCTTGTGAATGAGGGATAAAAACCTCACCACTACTTTAAGCTCAAAGCTACTTCTAGTTTTTAGCCTGGTTTCCTAAGGAAAGGAGGTTTATTGTCATTGAGCTGCCTGCATTTGTCCTATCACTCGCAACTTTTCAACTTGTGGGCCATTTTCAAATACATTTTACAAAAAAAGGAGATATCTCAAAATTATGGACTCGATGATCTTAAGAGTCTTTTCCAACCTAAATTATTATAAAATCCCTGTAAGTTCAATGAAAATTCAGTAGGGAAAAAAAGGAACTTTATTAATCCTCTTGCTTATGAAGATGCAGGTTTAATTCAAGCCTTACTCAGTTTCTCTGGCAATGACCAGATGAGCAGCCTGCGTGCACGTGTCTCCAAACCAGTTACAGCATTTACTGTGTCTTGCTGAAGCAGTAAGGATGGGTGAGAAGGATGCAAGTAGGAAGATTGGGTCCATCAGGGGCCACAGAATGAAGGGAGATATAAGGGTACTTGCACTGCATGGAGTTGCGTTGTAGAGAGTTGGGGCTGCAGTAGTTGGAGACTTTGGAAGGAAGGGTGCAGGGTATACCGGGCACAAATCCATAGGAAACCAGGCTTTGTGGGCACTGCTCTCACAAAACTCATGAAGGTGCTATAAGCCTACAATAACTAAAGGAACGCATCAGCTAAGTCAGAATAAGGGAGGCAGAGGTTGTTGTGCCTTATTTTGCATTCACGGATAATAGGACTGGACCTGGGTATGGGCTGTGACAGAGGAAGTAAAAGTCTACAACAGGACTATGGGTGGCTTTGGCAGGCACTACTCTTCAGGAGAGGTTGATCTTGTTTTCTAGAGCACACGTACACCAACAGCAAAGTAAGTGCAAATACTTACTCAGCAAAGAACTGCTGGATTTTTCTCAGCAACAACAGTAAGTCATAGCAAACATTGTTGATATTTTGCTTTTTCCAATGAGGAAAAATGCATGGCCCTTTTGGTTACTACTTGCATAAGTGGCAAATTTTTTCATGCAGCTAAAAGGAGAAGCAGGGGGAGAGGCCCATGATTTTGTTATTGCTACGTATGGGGGAAAAAACTTACTTCAGTAGTTTTATATTGCACATAATCAGCTCCTTCCAATTAACAAAAATCATAGCAACTTCTTTTTCTGTTAGCAGCTCAGATTCCATTAGTGGTTTCTGGAAGATCTATAAAGTCAGAAAATCAAGCAATTTAGAAAGCATATGGTAAGTATAATCAAAGTAACTAAGACTGATGATGCTCATTGCCTTAGTCTGGAGGTGAGGAAACTTCACATCAGAGCAGCACTTGACACCCAGTGGAACAGACTTCGAACACGCGCTGTGCCCTACAGATCCACAGTGTTCCCTGATAATATGTTTGTGAGCAAACAGTCTAAATTTGTGTTGATGGTGTTAATTATGACCTGGGTAATCTGAAACTTGGGAATTTTAGTCAGAGGTCTCCTGAAAAATATCCCAGGATTACTTTGAGAATACAACTTTAAATACATTTTACTTTGAACTCTTTTATGGAAGTTCAGATTTATCTCATAGTGTGTCAGGTTTGCATATCTTGACCTCTTTTTCAAAACAGGGTTTTCCCTCTCTGTCAAAAGAATTGTCTAAGTCAGTCAGTTGCCTGTACTAATTCACTTATTTTCCACATAACAGATGCACCTTATAACATTTAAAGAAAATCACAGTAAGTGATAACTGAGTGCCACTGTGGATGTGGAAACTGGCACATAAAGCTCTTCAAGTTTTATCAACTTATACATGAGAAATAAACATTCAAAATAAGGAGCAAAAAGGGTTTACTAGAATGACACTTTTTAAATACCAGTGGTTTGGTTATGGTAACACAGGGGCTTAACATTAGTTGCACGCACACATGCATGCATATATCTATAGAGACAGATAGATAGATAGACAGACAGATAGCTAGATGGATGGATAAAAATTTAATACAGATGATCCCTAGGAAGTCAAACACAGTAGTGACATAAAACAAGTTTTTGCAGCGAAATTACTGATTTACTTTCAAAGTAAAGTGATTAAAACCTGCTCCTGAAGCTGCTGTGCCGCCTTACCTCTGTGACCAACTGCAGATCGTTTACATAGTTCTCTTCTGTGACAATGAGCTCGTGGATGTATCCCTGCCTTTTCCTTTCTGTAGGTGTCAACATATCCAGAAGATGCAAGTCTGCACACCCTGGAAAACACAAAAGGATCCTAGATTTTACTTACACTCATTTGCAAACTGATTCAGATCTGTAGCAGTTCAAGTAAGGCTTAATGAACAGTAACTACTGCCCGTTCAGTTCACTTAATCATTATTCACATGTAATGGCAGAAGGCTACAAATGCTTCACCTCTTCGTGACTCAAAACATTGTATTTAACACCTTTTTTTTTTTTTTTTTTTTTTAAATCAAGGCCATTTCTAAGCAATAACCTTTCTCTGGTGGCAAAGCTTAAAAGTCCTTCTCACCGCTACTTGCCCATTGCCAACCTCACTCCAAAGTTCACTGTCCCCTTTAGTGGTGTAATTCAACTGGAGCCACACTGCAAAACAAATCCCCAAATGGATCGCTGTTAATAAAAAAGGGGGCAAAGACTTCCTCTAGTATTCCTGCCAAAGAAAATATAGAGATATCCTAAAAGGGAACAGAATTAGGAAAGAG